ATGAAAAAAAATATAGAGTTTGTTTGGTTATAGTTTGAAATTGATTTGAAATGAGATACTAATTTAAATTTTGTTTAAATATTATTTTTTTATGTGATATTTTGCTAGATAAAATAATATATTTTTATTAAAAATTATATAACATAAATAACATTAATTTAAAATTTAAAATCACAAAAGAATAAATTTATATGAACATAAATTATTTTATAACTAGTTTTTTTTAATAATAGTCATTAGATCATTTATTAAAAATAATCCAAGACCCATAACACCTGCGGATTTTTATGTCATTAAAAAAATAAAATAAAATAAATTGATCAGACAGTTACGAACCAATCAACATGGTGCTGGCAGCAGCCATATCTGATTTCTATATGTAGCATGCATCTATTGTACAAATAAATGAAGTAATTAGTTATACATAGTTAGCTTTACTGAAAAAATATAGAGGTAAGGAAAATATTTGAGAATTCGAAAATTGGATTTGAATTAAATCGAAATATAATATTTGGTTCAGATTTTTCGGATTGAAATTTTTAGAAATTTCGAATTTTGGGATTGGTATTTTAAAAATTTGAACCAATTTGAAATTTGAAATAAAATATTTTATTATATATTTAATACTCCCTCAGTCTCGGTGAGAGAGTGGCGTTTGCTTTTTACACGTAGATTTTTGAATATTAGTATTATATTGAATTGTAGTAAAAATGACAAAAATACCCCTATTAGTACAGTGTAATATAAAAATAATGGTATTTGTATAATATATTGTAAATTGAAATGGTATTTATTATGTTAGGTAAATAGTACAATTACTAAATTAGGAAATGATAACCTTGTTGTTTTGGGACGGACAAAAATGAAAAATGACAACCTTTCAATGGGATCGAGGGAGTATTTTAATAAAAATAAAAAATCAAAATGATTAATTATTTTTTAATATACTTATTTTTATTTATTATATATTTAATATTATAAAATAATTATAAAAATATAAAATAAAATTGAATATTTTAAAAAGTAATAAAAATAAGTAGAATTTCGAATTGATTTTTCGTTTGGTTCGAATTCCCTATTAGAATCAGATTGATTTTTTTAAAAAAAAAGAAATAAATTTTTAGATGATTTGGATTTGAAAAAAATTCATATGCTCACCCTAGTAACATATGCCGTTAATCCTATACCTCTAGGAAATGATATACTCTCCTCTGTTTCAATACAATATTTTTATTTATTATTTTTGTCTGTTTAAAAATAATAGTCTTATTTTCATGAATAACAATATCACCATAAAATTACCCCTATTTTTTCATTTTTATTACACAATTGCTACTACTTTTTACACTAATACATTCACAATGACAAAAAGTCTTTTATCTATACTTTTTATTAACTACCAATATAATATCAATATTTTTTAAATCTCGTGTAGTCCAATTAAGACTATAATTTTGGGACGGAGAGAATATATTAGTTGAAAAGTAAATGAACTTTATTTATTTATTTGTTGTTTGTTTATTTATTTATTTATATATATAGTTGTGGACACTATAATTCCAATCAAGTTCATAAGACTGCAACACAAAAATATATAATAAATAGAGCTTTGCTAGTAGGCAGATAAGAGAGCCAAGTAAATAATAGATATTATGATCATATGCAAACGATTATTTTGAAATATAAAATCTTCAAATTTCTAGCACAATGTCATCCTTTATGTACTAATTTACCACTATTCTTTTTCTACTTATCACAATATTTTTTATTAATATTTTAATAAATTTTCTATAATATTTCTATATTATTACTATCTACTCTATATTTATTGTAGGCATTGAAAATTAAATGTCTAAATTAAATTAAATATAAGGTGTGTTAGAAGAAAATAAAATTTTAATAAAATAAATATATAGTATTTAATTATGCACATATGTTAATTTTTGTACAATAAATATCAATCATTAATGCAAAAATTTGCTTTAAATGGAAGATATCGTGCAAATATTATGTGTATAAATATAGCCATAATAAATTTGGCAACAAAATAAATTAATCTTGTCAATAAAGAAAGTATATAAATTAATATCTTTCGAAAAAGACAATGATATAAAGATCTTGGCGAGAAATGAATGTGCATAATCAAATCCGTCAAGAATGAAAAACGGCATCCGATGGAAAAGGAAAAATAATAAAATCTTCATGTTGGCCAATCAGAACGCGCCACGTGGCACCATTAAAAAAGGAAATCGAGACCACTCATCCCCTATAAATAGGAGTCATGGCCAGTTCATTTGAGACACTGAAGTTACATCGAGAATTCAAGCAAAAGGGTGAATCTCTATACTCTCTCTATATTGTTCTTTATGTTCTTCGTTTCCTTCGAAGCGTTCTTTGTCGAAAGTCACTGATTTGGACAAATGATCTAATATTGGTTGACGAATCGATGGAGTTAACGTTCTTCGTCGTATGCCCAAGCCGGAGAAAGGATCAACGCTCCCAAAGTCGTTGAGGAATTCGTCAAAGCCAAGGGAAAGTCTCCGAAGTTCCTCTCAAAGCTTCAAGATGTTCATCGCGTTCTTCACTAAAGCATCAACTCGGCTATCTTCGATCCAAAAGTCAAAGGGACACGCCACCAAAAGTATTATGGAGCACCAAATCCACCTCTTCAAGGATCAAAGCTCCAAAAACCGTTGAAGAATCCATTAAAGCCAAGGAAGAATCCAAAGTTCACCTCAAAGCTTCAAGGTGTTCATCGCGTTCTTCACCAAAGCATCAAGTCGGCCCTCCTCGATCCAAAAAAGTCAAAGGGACATGCCGTGCAAAAGTGTTATGAAACACCAAATCTATCTCCTCAAAGATCCAAGTTACGAATCGTCCAAAGAAGACATCAAATCCAAAGTTGAGGATCAAATCGCCCGCATGGAGACTAAAGTCCTTCAAAAGCGACAATGACAAAGCAAAGATCAAAGCCGCGGATCGTCTAAAGAAGACATCAAATCAAAAACCAATGATCAAATCGCCCGCACGGAGACCAAAGCCCTTCAAAAGCGACAATGATAAAGCAAAGATCAAAGCCACGGATCGTCCAAAGAAGACATCAAATCCAAAGCCGATGATCAAATCGCCCACAAGGAGACTGAAGTCCTCTAAAAGCGGCAAAGCCAAACCAAAGATCAAAGCCTCGGATCGTCTAAAGAAGACATCAAATCCAAAGCCGATGATCGAATCGCCTACACGGAGACTAAAACCCTCCAAAAGGCAAGTCAAATCAAAGATCAAAGCCGCGGATCGTCTAAAAAAGACATCAAATCCAAAGCTAATGATCAAATTACCTACACGGAGATCAAAACTCTCCAAAATGCGGCAAAGCCAAATCAAAGATTAAAGTCTCGGATCGTCTAAAGAAGACATAAATCCAAAGCCGATGATCGAATCGCCCATATGGAGACCAAAACCCTCCAAAAGGCGGCAAAGCGAAATAAAAAACCAAAGCCTTGGATCGTCCAAAGAGGACATCAAATTCAAAGCTGACGATCAAATCGTCTGCACGGAGACCAAAGCCCTCCAAAGTCTGGAAAAGTCAAACCCAAGACCAAATCTCTATGGATCAAAGAAACCATAAAAACCCAATTACAAAACAAATCGACCCAAAAAGATAATCAAATGATCAATTTAAAGAATATGACCCGCTTAAATCTAAATTAAATATAATTTATACAAATTTTGTGTTTATTAAAAATAACACAATTTTTTGTCTATATTTATATTAAAATATTATTATTCATTAATTTTTGTGTCCAATTAAAATGGCATAAACATTAGAGAATATACAATATAACATACATTCACACAATATATATTTCTAATATATATTTTACACACTTATAAAAGTCAATAATGTAGTACAAAATTTTATTATTTATTTATTGACACATTTTTATATTTAACATAAATAATATTTAAATTAAAATACCAAAAAATATTTCTAAATATATTGATTTGAATTAATTAAATTTAATTGTTATTAAAAAATATTTTTATTCTTTTTATAGAAATAATAGTATATTTGGAAGGGACAATAGTAAAAAAAATGGAGAAAATATATCAATATATAATATGAAAAAAAAAAGAAAAAGTGACAGATTGAGAAGCTTTGAGTTTGTTTATTTTGGAAAAAAAATTAAATAACAATTTTTACAAAAAATATTACACAATTTTATTATTTTTATATTATTTACATAATTATATATACTTCATATTAAATTTTTTTTTCTTCAAACTAAAACACAAAACAAACACACATTTTCGAACAACTATTTATTTGGCAATATTTTATATTTTTACTATTTAATTTTATAATTTATGTAAAAAAAAATAATAATAATTATTTAAATAAAAATAAAAATATAAAATATAAAAGGTAACAATTAAATACATTTAATTTTATAATTTATGTAAAAAAAAAATAGTAATTATTTAAATAAAAATAAAAATATAAAATATAAAAGGTAACAATTAAATACATTTAGGGTATGTTTCTTTAAAAGATTTATACATATTTTTATTATTCATTGAATTTTTTTCGTAAAAATATCAGATTAAATATATATATTTTTATATTATATTAAAAATTAATTTTATATTCAAAATATCATATCAAATTATATCATACAATTATTTAGAGTGTATTTGTTTGAAGGATTTACACATATTTTCACTATTTATGAAATTTTTTTCCCTAAAAATATGAAATCAAATAGTACTTATTTTTTATTTTTTTATATAATACTAAAAATTTAATTTTATATTAAAAATATCACATCAATATTTAGTTATATCATGTAATATGATTATTCACATTCAAATTTTCTTTTACTATTCAAATCTCAATAAAAAAATAAAAAACCAAACAACTAAACAAACACACCCTTAGAAAATCACGACAGTGAGTCAGAAATTTAAGGAATATTTGTATAAATCTCGCATGAATTCTATAAATAGTGGAATCTGTTCGTTACGATTGTTTCTTGAAGGTTCCGAGAAAATCAGCTGCGCAACATCTTCGCTCTTCGGTTCGGTTTGTGAGTTCCCTCTCTCTGGAAAATGATCACTGCTTCCAATTACAGTGTTCACTGCGCAAATCCAATAAAATTTCAGTATAGTTACGGCGGCAGAATTGCGCCTCGTGCTTCCGATGGCGTGCTCCGCTATGTCGGCGGCTACACAAGGATTTTGTCCGTCGATCGTTCCATTACGTTTTCTGGTTGGTCGTCTCTGTTACCTTTTTTTCCCAATTAGATCGTATTACTTGATTTGCACTTCGATTTAGGCATTTTGGGGAGATTATTGAGGAGGCGGTGTTTGATTTTTATCTCCATTGTTTTCGTCAGAATTGATGGTGAAGTTTGGGGAATCGTGTGGATTTTCCGTGGATTTGAAGTGTAAATTGCCAAATGAAGATTTGGACGTGTTGATCTCGATTAAATCGGACGAGGAGCTCAGGAATGTGATTGCAGAGTACGACAGAGCCGCGCCAGATGCGAAAATCAGAGCGGTGCTTTTCCCGATCAAATCTGCGAAGAAAGTTTCTCCTCCATCCTCTCCTTTGTCGTGTTTTGATTTTCCCTCAGCTGCGCTACCGCAGCAGAAATCAAGGTCGCTCTGGATGCAATATTACCCTGCAGCGGTCGGCTATCCTCTAAGCGCTTTCCGATAGCCGGATTATGTATGGAGATCGAGTCACAAGGTACCTGCATCAATACTAACTCATCGTCATTCCTTCGGTCCTTTCTGTATTACCAGTATATATACAAAAAATGAATTTACACTTAGAGATTCCAATTTGTTTTTTAAGTTTTGGAATTGAAATTCAGAAAGAGGTGTAAGTTCTTCCCGACGTTCTCCAATATATTATATCGATTTGCTTGTTGTCGACATCATTTAGGTTTCAATCTGTTCATAATTCATACACTACCGATCTGTTAGATCGAAACAGCCGCCGGCGAGCCATTTTAATTAATTTATACGTACCGTTGTATTTCATTTGGTGTTAGTTGCCGCCGTTTATGGTTTTCCGGCTGTTCGCGTCTCTCGCCGGCAGAACCGCCGCAGCGGATTGACTGAGTTTTATATGTTAATTGAAATTAATTCATATTTATATTTAGTGTGTGTTTGTTTGTATTTTGGATTTTGGATTGAGATTTGAATAATAAAAGTTTTGAATATGAACATTGCAAAAAATATTATACACCGTATACCTCATTATCACTTTTATCATTTATTTATAAAATATATTCTACATGTTTTCAAAAGTTGTTATTTTTATCATTTTGGTTGTGCGCAAATGCTCGTTGTGTGAATGTCACGTGCAGGCAAATGATAGCGACTTTTTTAAACATGTGAGATATATTTTGTCAGGTAAAATTTATTTTTAGTATAATATAAAAAATGAAAAATAGGTGTTTGATTTAATATTTTTATGTGAAAAAAAATTGAATGAATAATAAGGTTGGGAAAGATCCCCAAACAAACACAACCTTATATTGTTCTCTCGTCTATACTTATATGCTTCAATAACCCTTCTTAAGTTACAAATCTACAAAATTAAATAAATTAATTTATTTAGGAAAATTACACTTACATACCCAGAAAGACACCCAAATGCATAACAATTTGTTATTAAAAATAAAAAATCAAGTGTAACCTAGCATATACTTTTACAATTAATATAAAAATTCTTAGTGACACGTGTAAGGAGAAAATGAAAATATAATAAACAGTTCATATACATACACTCACCCGGAGCCTCTCATCTATATTTGGTTACCCCTCCACGTGGCGGATACTCATTGCCCAAACCTAAAAATAGGATCCGACCCGACCCGGATACCGGGTCTGTATTTATGGTCCGACCTCGACGTCGACGCATGCGTGCGTTCGTCCGTTACTGTACTGCTCCGCACAACACATAACACATCTGCAACCACAGTTTGCCGTACCGTCGAATCGCCATTGCTATCGGAGAAAACTCACGATGACGTTTCCGATCTTCGTCGATCCTTCCTACCAGGATCCGCGGTCGAATGAGAACGAGGCGGATTTCGAATGGGATCCAAATCCGGCGGATTTTCCCATCCTAGCCTACGTCATGGACAAGCTACCTACAATCAGCCAGACGCTGTCCAACGCCGCCGCGGAAGCCTTCGACATCGAGAATCCGGCGCCACCGGCGCCGAAGCCGCATTTCGAGCTGACGGAGAGAATGCCTCACCTGAAGAAGCCGGAGCTCATCTCCGCCATGCGCCGCGCCGTCACAGAGATCGCGCAAACGCGATCCGTGCTGCAGACGATCGGACCGCGCCCCAACCACGAGGTGGTGGACGCCGCGAGGTACAAAATCGCGGAGATCGAGGCGCACTCGTCGCGGAATTCGGAGGAGCTTAACAAGGACTACCGGAAGTACAAGGCGGTTATCGCTCTGGACGAGATGCACGAGGCGTACGGAAAAATGCTCACCGCGGCGGAGAAGCGGCTGGAGAGGCTCTACGAAGCGGCGGTGGCCGGAGTGGATCCTGTGGTGGACGATGGACCTCAGACGACTGAGGTCAAGGAAGAGGACGCCATGACGGAGGAGGTAGTAGGAATTCTGAAGGAGGCGGAATCCGGGAAGGGGATTGAGATGGTCGATTTGGCCGGCAGGAAATTGAGGTCGATGCCATTGGCATTCTGGAGGCTCAAGTCACTGATTGTTCTAAACATGTCCTGTAACCGCCTTGAGGTAAACGCTACCACTCTCTAGCCATTACTGATGAATTTTAAGCTATCTTCAAACCTTGCTTGAAATGCAGTTCCGATTTGCAATTTTGTGATAATTGATGCTACGTACATTAATTTCTATAAGGTCTTATGCCCTATTGCTGTGTGTATTGAGGTTTTTCATCAATGGCGATAATGGAGTAAAGTGAACCTGGAAGAAACTTGAAGTAGTTAGTATTTGTTGGCTTAGAGTCAAAAGATTGCAGACATTTGGCTAAAGCTTTCTTTGCTCAAGTTGAATGAATAAATAGCTTTAATGTGTTATATGGAACCTCAATAGATCTAACTATACTGAATACAATGAAGAAAAGCTGTATTTACAAAGTATGCAGTATATTCTTTGGTGTTCTTGACATATAAATAGATTATTGGGATTATTACTGCATAGTTTGTAGGTATAAATTCTCGAATGTTTTCTTCAAATGCTGGGCTGCATATGTAGAATTCCATGGATATATAATAAATCAGAAAGCTTACTCTGTGACATAATGTGACCTCCAAATGTCTCTTTGTTTTATAGTTAGTTCTTACACTTGTTCTAGCAGAATCAGTCATATAATTGCATAATAGTTTGTACATTATAGGATACAGCTTCAAGAAAGTGAAGTTAAGTTTTGTTTCTGATTCATACCCAATTTTGGTGAGTGAAACAGGCAATTCCTGGTGCAGTTGGAGAGTTAGAAAACCTGGAGGAACTCAACCTTGCATCGAATTTTCTATCCACACTGCCCGATTCCATATGTCTGTTGTCGAAGTTACGAGGCTTGAATGTGTCCAAGAACAACATCACTGCCCTACCCGACAGCATTACAAACTGCAGGTAAAAAAAATATATTGTATGAAAACAATAGTAGTATGTATCGTGTTATGTTAATAGCCCTTTCCATGGCATGATTACCTCCGAGTTTCTGTTTTCGACATTTTACAGGTCTTTGGAGGATGTAGATGTGAGCTACAACAAGCTCACTTACTTACCGACCAACATCGGATTCGAGCTAGTACACATCAAAAGGCTATCGATCCAAATGAACAAGATCCGTTCGCTTCCAACATCCATCGGTTGGATGAAATCCCTGCGTTACTTGGATGCACATTTCAACGAGCTCCAAGGCCTCCCGGCATCAATAGGGAGGCTATCGGGTCTCGAGGTCTTAATCCTCAACAGCAACTTCAGTGACATGAAGGAGCTTCCCGAGACCATTTCCCAGCTGATCAACCTCAAAGAACTCGATCTAAGCAACAACCAAATCCGGTGCCTCCCCGCCACATTCGGCCACCTCCTCAACTTGTCGAAGCTCAACTTGGATCAGAACCCCCTCGAGATCCCCCCAAAGCAGGTCGTGTCTCTTGGGGTCGACGTCGTCAAGGTCTACATGAACCAGAGACTTGCTGACATGGTTAGGGCAGACGAGGAGAGGCGCATGCGCGAAGCCGAAGAACAGGTTCAAGAAGCCAACATATTGACACGAAGCACGTCGTGGTTGAAGAACATGTCCGGATCTGTCACCGACTACTTGGGAAGCCTCGGAAAATCGGATGCTGACCGGTACATACACAACGAGTACTAATTCACGACTTGGCTCGGCTTGACTTGACTCGTCCTCTTTCTTCGACTACAATCGGTAAATGCTACTTGCTCTACACTTGACATGCATTTAGTATATATATATCAAGAAGAGCTTTCTTTCCCTACCCTACCCTACCCTACCCTACCCACACTAAGCTCCCCTGTTTTCTAGTTCATTTTTGTTAACTCTATTCCATCGAACATTACTTCGTTTTGGCTTATCCTCTATATATCTATTGTGAGTATAATAAAATCTTAGAGATATCTATTTATCTATATGTATATATATGTATGCACCGTGCACGCACACACACTTGTGATTTTCAACTTGCTCTCCTTTATGTAGATTAAAAGCAATCAAATTGAAATCCTCCTTGGTTTGACTTTGACCTTGGTAGAAGGTTCTATATATGATAATTAAAAACACACATTATTTAACCCTAAGTAAGCCGTCTTTCTTTGACCTTTTGAGTCCAAAATGATGACAATTTATTTATTGTGTTATCATGTATTAACCCTAAGTAAATCGTCATTCTTTGACCTTTTTGAGTCCAAAATGATAGACAATTTATTTAAATATAAAGAAAACGGAAAGAGGGGTATGAACGTTTTCTTTTTTTTGTGGAAAAGGGAAACCGTGTAGTCATTGGTACCGATCTTCATTTATAACTACTAGTGGGTAACCGTGCGATTCACGGTATTTTTATATTTTACTTTTTTTCCATCAAATTTTTTTATATTTTCGTTAATTTTTTATTAAAAAAATACATTTATTATTTTTTAAAAAAATTAAAATTAGAATTGATGTAATCAATAGTTATGTAATTAATATATATATAATAACAAATTTATTTTTTAAATTTAAATTTATTATTTAATTTTAAATTGAATAAATAAGTATTCTAAGGGAAATCTTCGCTTGTTCCCTCCCAAGGAAGAGAAGTATTTTTTTTGTAAATTTAAAAGAATGCAGCGAGAATACATTCTTCCGCCAGAGCAAGAATGGAATTTGGCATGAGTGCCAAGCGACCGTCATACACGACGACAGAGGCCAAGAATTTGGATCTAAAATACGTTATTTCTACGAAAGGTCCGAGATTGCAGGCGATGGCCATAAGGGGATTGTATTGTTTATGGAAGAATATAGGATTGCCGATTTGTTCCACCCCTTCTGTGTTAGGGGTGACTGCAACCACTATGTGTTCTGCAAAGCGACTCATACCAGTTTTCTGATACCCAAATTCCCAGCACCATTGGTGTACAAGGGTATTTGGATTGCATTGTTCAGCAGAACACCCAAGTTCTTTCCGATCGGGAAACAGTCCCGTGTTTGCTGAATAATGTCAGTAAAAGCAGAGTGCCGTTGCCAAACAAGTACACACTTGTTCTTCCTAAAATTGACATTTTCGGTGACCAAGAGCCCGGGGAGCTCTTCAGCCACTACGAAGATGACAAGGAAATTCTTTTTCTTAGGCAGCGCAATCCAGGCTGCGTGATCGATGATACTCTTGAGACCTGCCGTGTATGCGAGCACGGTAGGGTCTGGCGTATTAACCGTCAATACGATAATGTTTGTATTAAGGGCAATGCGGTAGGGACTGCCCAGGTATTCACCTACCACAAACTGAACTGTGTTCGTGATTACAAGTGGAAAGTGTACCACTTGAAAGAGTATTTTCTTTCCGGTAGATTTCATTCCTGTGTTAAGGCAGGTCTAGAGGATCAAGTTTTGTGTAAAGTGCGGAAATCGTCTTATCCGAATATGTGTTGGTCTTCTAAATTTGACTATGAAGACGACGATATTGATACATATTTTGATATGTTTTTAGATTAGACGATAATATTAATTTTTTCCCCCATAAATATCAAATCAAATACTTATTTTTTATTTTTTATATTATACTAAAAATTAATTTTACATTTAAAACATCACATCAACGCCTATTTATATCGTATCATATAATTATTCACTTTCAAAATTTTTAATATTCAAATCTCAATCCAAAATCCAAATCTCCAACCAAACACATTCTTATCATGTAATTGTACTTCATATTTTATGTGTGTTATGTTAGCTTATTTTTTGTGTTGAGATCAATTGCATCGTGTGTGTCGTAACTTTACATATTACTCACTCGTCGTTCAATTTGTACTCATTTGATCGGATACGAGTGTTAAAAAAAATAAGTAAAAATAAAATCTTTTACTTTTTTTTTTAAAGAAAAAGTAAAAAAAAATTATATTTTTTACTAATACGGAAAACGATAATAAATTTAGATGATAAAAAAAAAAGAATAAATTTAAACGAGAGAGTATATTAAATTGCTAATCTTTTTAGGCAATGGCATTGATCAAGAGCTTAGATAGTATATACTATATTTAAAATGTACATTTTCCAGTCTCTTAACCGGTGTCTTTTAAATTTTTGATCAGATATAGCATAATATATACTACATAGAGTGTTGAATATTATCCCACATTGGTAAATATATAGGAACTTCTCTATTTTTTTATAGAATATCGTATTTAAAAAATATTCAAATAACACATACTCTTATACATTGTGTACTAAATGTTTATTTTTTATGCACAATCAACCAAACTTACTTTAATTTTCATATAACTAATTAATCACCAACCCTTTGTATGCATAGTTCAATGCATCACATATCAATCTCTCTACCTCTATATTTTATATATACGCATGTATATAAGGTTAAGTGCACCAAACTTCGAAGCAAACACAACGTACACTATATTAAAAAAATAAAATAAAATACCAACAACCCATTCATTTATTTTTTCCTTTCAACTTAACTTGATAAAAAAATAACGAATCCAAACAAGGGCCACCTGTGTGCATTGGGATATACCAAACACTTAAAAAAAATAAAAAACAAATGCAATAACATATGTCATAGAAACCCTAACCAAGACTCAACTATATATATAATTTTGACTTCCCATGCATGCTTCCCGTTATTCCATAAAGTTTTCCTCCATTAAACAATCAAGATTAGTATCCTCTTTTGCCAACCTAGCCATGTGCACCCACATGCTTATATGCCCTTTCTCACTCCTTTATATCAATTTTCCCATTCCCATTCTCATACTCTAAAAACCACCATAGCCATTCCATTCAATACCCATTTCCATTTCTTGTTCTTGCCCTCCATTGATGAACCAAATCACAAGAACCACCTTCTTCTTCTTCTTGATCATCATGGCCTTGTGTTTCTTGCTCTCATCGGCCGACCGGATCGCGGCCGCTTGCTACAACATGAGGGCCGTGCACCTTCTTTTCGTTCTTGTTCTCGTGCTCTCCGTGGTTTACGCTATCCGGACTACCATTCTTACATGGATCACTCTCATGGTGCTCTTGGCCTTCGCCGGGAACCGCCGGAGGGTTCTTGTGAAGAAGGGGAGGAAGATCACATCTGATGTGGCAATGTCATCAGCCAAGATTGTGATCAAAGATAAAAGCCTTGTGGCCTTTGGATGTGCTGCTATTGTTAGCCTCATTGCAATAGCTTTGTTGTGAAGACAAGTTAATTAAGATCCTATGGTTTGCCAAAGATGGGGAGGTTGCATTTTGGTGTAGAGGGTTTTCAACCTTAGTTTTGGGCCTTGTAAGAAAAGTGTATAAAGAGTTGTATGTATGTATGTATATTTGATTTTTATGTTTTTTTTTTTTTCTTATTTTCTTATTTGGGACATTTCTTTTTCAACCTAGATGTCTCATTTAATTTAGTTACAAAGGTTATTATTGAAGAATTGGAGAAATGTACTATATTTCTATGCATCTTTTGATACTTTTAGATTGCTTGGCCTTTTTAAGTTATGTTTTCTTTGAATTTTTTTTTTTTTTTTTAGTTTATTTATTATTCAATTCTTATCATTTTTAATTGTTAAAAACATAAAATACTTTTAAAAAAGGGAAAATTTATTTTAGTTCAAAAAAAATAATTGGAAACACAAATAAGTGAAAGGCCCAAATAATTGGGCCTTAAAGAAAGCCCAATAGTTTCCTTCAATTAATTAAGCGGTTAGCATCACGTGGAACGGGTTTATATACAGGCGACACGTGTCACCATCAATACGATCAACGGCCCAGATTCGACAGCCTTATTTTGCTTATTCAACCACGCGATTGTATATAAATTTTTTGGGCACAGGATAGAGTCGACGACTTTCGGCTCTGATTTCCTTAGCGAGCAAGAAACAAGTTTTTGATGCGATAAAAGTTTGGGAACCGAAGGGTCGCCTCACACTCTCCATCTACTCAGAGATTCATTTCGGCCGTGTGCGTGTGGGTGTGCGATTCTGTGCATTTCGTTTCACGGGTTTGTTGAGGGGTCGGGCAGTGTTGAATGGGGTTTGTTGCCACGCTTTGAGTGCCGTGGAAAACCTTTGTTGAGTTGGGGCTTCTTGGCTCAATCGGTGTGGATTTTGACTCGATTTCTGCTTTTGCTTCTCCCTTGTTGATTTGAGTTTTAATTTTCCCTTTTTTTTTTTTTGTTTGGAGCAATTTAGGTTTGATTTTAGGGACTGTTTGGTATCTGTTAAACCTCTGTTGCTGTGTTTGTAAGCAGAAGACGAGGGCGTAAAGGAGGGCTTCGTTTGTGGCTTTTTACTTGAACGCGACTGTATCGATGGAGACTTTCTCCACTTTGGTGATTAAGGTTATTTTCCTTTTGCTTTTATTTTTAGTTGCTTTTTTTTCAAAATAATTTGGTTTTTTCTTGGGCAGCGATTTGTGGCCTTTGGGATCGTTTGGTTGTCTAGTTGATAAGAAATTTTGATTCCTTATCCTTTGGGCTGAAATGGATGATTGCAGATGAAATGTTGTGCCCTTTTCATTTTTGGTTGATTGATACTTGTTGATTTGTCTTTGGAAATTTCTGTTCTTTTAGGCTTTTTATCATTTTTCTGCTTTTTGTGTTCGGTTACTGTGGACAGATGTGGTTATTGAATGATATCTTTGCATTCTGTGACATGATCTAGCTGAAATTTATGGTTATATACCTTTGGCTCAAAATGAATGTCAATTTATGTATGTATATATATTAACACGGAAATATTTATCTAGATGCTTAAACTAGTTGTAATTGACTTAATATGTCTTTCCACATTTTAATCTTTTGTGTCCAATGCATCCTGATGATTGGTGAGCAATCTGATTTTGTTCATAGTGAGTTTGTCATTTCCTTTCGAATGTTTTGGTGTTCTATCTTTGTAAATTAACAAATGCAGCAAGACAAGAAAAAACTAAGCAATTTTATGTCTTCAGATATTGATATGGTGATCCTCTGTGTACATATTTAAGCAATTTTTCCCCCCTTGTCCTTTATGATTAAGTTTTTTAGACTATCATTTAACATTTTTCCCTGTGTAAACATCATTCGGACAGGTCAAGTATGGGGATGTGCTTAGGCGATTTAATTCCCAAATTGTTGATGGGGAGTTGAAACTTACCGTCGATGGACTAAGAAAGAAGATCATAACCCTTTTCAACTTAGATGTTGATGCTCAGCTGGTGCTTACTTATATTGATGAAGATGGTGATCTGGTCACTCTTGCTGATGATGATGATATCCGAGATGTAGTGAAGCAGGGCCTGAATCCTTTGAGGATTACTGCTAAACTGTTTGCTGCAAAAGAAGGCTCGCAGGAGACACGTTCAGCAGGAAATTCAACTCCTTTGAGCTCACCGCCTTTGGAGACACCCATGCCAAATACTAATATCAATGATTCCGGACTTCTGAGGAATTTTCAGGAGCCTTCGCGGGAAATGCTTGTGGGTTTGGCTTCCAAGTTGGCTAATGTGGCATCTGCAGCCTCTTCTTCTGCTCCTGGTGGTGCTGAGCTTGTGGACCATTACATACGATTGGGATTGTCTTATTTGGAGCGCCGGGAATCCCAGAATGTGAATGCCAGCCCGTTGATGCAAAATGCTGATAATGCTTTCTCTGAGCTTCTGAGAAATGTTCCAGAGTCTATGCGGGGAGTGGTTGCTAAATACGTTTCCTTGATTACATCTTTGGCGGATGGATCATCTTCCTCAGCACCTGGTGGAACTGAGCTATGGGATGCATTAAAAACGTTGATTTTATTGCAATTGGATCAGAGGTCAGGGTCCCAGCCCCAGGCTGGAGTACAGTCTAGCACACAGACTGGTGGAGTTCCTGGAAGTGAAACTGCAGCAGAAACCAAGAACCCGGAACTCAAGGATGATCCAGCTGACACATTAAAGATGCCATCTAATTTGAAATCTGAGCTAGCTTCAAGAAGTGATGGGAGCTTGGACAAACTTAAAACTGAAGCTGCCATGGATAATGAGGATGTGAATATCCATAGCGCAACAGGGGGACAGGCAGAGAATCCATTCTTCGACTTTAAGGCTCCGCTACTTGGCTCTAGAAATACGAACACCATGCAACCAAGTGACAGCACATCAGTTAATCCTGCCCCAGCTCCAGTTCATCCCAAATCAGGTGGTCTCGGAGCGGATAATAATAAACATAAGGGCAAGGAAGTTGTTGGATCTCCTTCAAATGAGAGGTCTAATATGCCAGTTCACTTGCCACATGTCTTGCATAGTGCTGGAAAGACTGGTGGAGTTGGTATTGTATCTTGTGAGTTTCCTTCAGTTGCAAACATCCTTGCTAGAGACGAGGCTAATAGACTAAAGGAACCAATTGGATCTGGACATAATAATGTTATTGTCTCTGATCCTCGTCCCACCATGAATGACTGTCCATTTTCTGGAATATCTATGGAGAATGTCTCAGCTGCCCCGCATATCCCTGTTGTCCAACATCCGTTTAGGAGGAGCATGAGTCAGAATGATGGCACTCAGGATGTCTTCCATCGTGGGGTTCGATGTGATGGTTGTGGTATCCATCCTATAATTGGCCCTAGATTTAAGTCGAAAGTGTAAGAACTACTATATCAAGTCTGATCTTGTTATTTGAATCTATTATAAGTTTATATGCCGAAACTTAATCTAGATTACTTTCCCCCCCTGCAGAAAGGTGGATTACGATTTGTGCAGCACGTGCTTTGCTAAAATTGGAAATGACAGTGACTATACCCGAATGAATATTCCTATGGCCTATAGGGGTCATTTTCCTTTCAAGGGATTTGCTGGGGCTGTATGTATTCATTTCTTTTATTTTTCTTTTCCCTCTCTCTCTCTCTCTCTCTCTCTCAGAATGAACAGTTTTGATTATTAATCTTTTGTTGGTGTTCTTATAATCCATTGTAGCATGCAAGGAACCGAAGGACAAATCCACCACAGGTTTATAGGGGATGTAGAGTTAAGCCAGCCGCAGCAAAGCTAGACAGTTGCTTTGTTCAAGATGTGAATGTAATTGACTTCACTGTCATGGCGCCTTCAACTCCATTTACCAAGATATGGAGGATGAGGAACAGTGGTGCATTTGAGTGGCCCCAAGGAACACAGCTAGTGTGGATTGGAGGAGACAAAATGAGCAATGCTCTGTCTGTTGAATTAGAGGTAATTAATGACACATCATTGTCCAACTACACATATTTTTCGAGATTATTCTGCCCTTTCGAAGATTGTTCTATAACTGTGTTGCATTTAAAATTAGCCCTATTAGCCTGTTCCTAGTATATAAATTTGGTGGAATCTTGTTGGATCCAATCGGTTGTTATGGCTTCTATGTTCTACAGATTCCCGCCAGTCTTGTGTGGATGAATCAGGAGCTTGATATCGCCGTTGATTTCATTTCTCCCAAGCAGCCAGGTCGGTACATCTCCTACTGGAGAATGGCGACGCCATCAGGTCAAAAGTTTGGGCAGCGTGTTTGGGTTCTCATCCAGGTGGGAAGATCCCACAATTTATTTGTTTTCAACCACCTATTGTCTTGAACCTCCCACAATGTTCATATAAAGTTGTGCTTAAGTTTTTGTCCTTTTCTAATCCTCCTCAGGTTGATGCTTCTCTGGAAGAACCTCCACTTGAAAATATTCGGAACTTGAACTTGAACTTACCCCCTGCAACTGCTTGCTCTGGCCCTGAAATTATTAATGTCAATGCTGAGCCAATTGGAGTATACAACCATCCTGAATCTGAAAGCTCGAAGAGGGTTCACGAATTACTGCTACCAAACAACGAGCAGGAATTGAGGTTCCCCATTAACGATAGCTTGTTGGTTGGCAACGGGGCATCAAGCTCTGCCTCAGATCCAATTTCATATCCCATCATTGATCTCTCCGATGTAGCATCAGCTTTCCCATCAGAAGCTCCCCCGGATATTCAGGCAGTGAAGATGCCGTCACTCTCTGCTGCACCTGTAGAAAGTCCTCTTCGGGTGCCTATGCCATCATTCTCTGCCAGACCGCCGGTTGCAAGTCCACTGCCATCTGAAGTGAACCTGGAAAAGGATCAAATTGAGGACAAACTTCTGAGGGAACTCGAGGAAATGGGATTCAAGCAGCTCGATTTGAACAAGGAAGCTCTGAGGATGAATGAGTATAACTTGGAAGATGCTGTGGATCATCTCTGTGGTGTTACTGAGTGGGACCCAATGCTCGAGGAGCTCCAGGAGATGGTGAGCCGACATTATACTTATGTTCTGCTTTTGAGTGTGATTCTTATTCTTATGGATTGTTTGTCTTGAACAGGGTTTCGATGATAGAGAAATGAACAAGAAGCTGCTGATGAAGAACAATGGGAGCATCAAGCGCGTCGTTATGGATCTGATTGCCGGCGAGACTGATTAGTAAGATATATATATATATATGTGTTTCTGTTAATAATCTTTGGGTAAATAAAATGGGAATCTGGAATTGAGGAGTTTGTAATGGTTACTAAATATGCTGCTGCTGCTGCTATAACTCAATTTCAATTTATTAGTCTGTGGACAAGAACAAGAACAAATCGTGTGTTTATCTGTGTTTCTGTTTTACTTTGTTGATGGTTGTTTCTGTCTATCTATCTATCACTGATTTGAAATCGACCATTATAATATTATCATGCCTGGACTTGGACTTGTTTCTGTATTTGTGCAAACTTTGATCTTTCTTGGCAGCTCAATAAAAGGTATATACAGTAGATAAATTAATTGAGAAATGATGGTTGATAGAGCTCACAATGGGTCCATCTGTCTCGGGTTGAATACTTTAAACGGATTAAATTACTCAATCCTAACATGATTTGTTTATGAGCCAGTCAGGTTCGTGTTGACCCGTTTATTATCGTGTCGAGTTTGGGTTGACTCGCGTTGACCCATATACATAATTAAGTCGAATTTTTTTATTCATATTAAATAATTTTTGTTAGGTTGTCGTGTTATGTTAGCTTTTTTTATTGGTTTGAGTCTAAATTATGTCAAATTATTTAAATTTGAACTTAGTTTAAATTAATTTATGAGAAAATTATTAAATTATGATTATTTTATATATATAATAAATATATTAATCAATATTAATATATTATAATTGGATTGTCGTGTCGGATTCGTATCAATTCGTATATATAATCGGGTTGAAATATTTGATATAAATTTAATTATTTGGTGTCGGTCAGTTTTCCGGTTATTGGTTGGTCTCGTTTGTTGGTAGAATGGGCTATGTCATTGTTGGGCCTACTATATTTGATATTGGGCCTACGTCATTCTTGATGGCCCAATAGGTCTGGTTGAAATTGGAGTCCACATAAACAACATACATTTATAACGTAACATGACGTGATGACAAAGCATTTTGGTTGTATTGTATTGTATTGTGATTCTGCGAGCTCACAACTAGGGCATTTATAGGGCAGAATCACAATTGAGATTCAAATTGATAAGGGAGAAATCCAAACAAAGAAAATTCGGAAGTTGGATGGAATAATAAAATAAACAAAGGCGTGAATTTGTTTGTGTTTATCATCCTTCAAGTTCTTTTCTTTTTTCCATTCTCACATTCAACAAATCAATAAAAATATACTAGCGAGTAACCCGAATTCTAGGGCTAACTGCCTGATGGAGAGAAGTGGTTTTGTAAAATAATTTGAAGAGATATACTCTCTTCGTCATGCAAATCTGTGTTCGATAATTTTTTCTTTTATAATAAAAAATAGTAAAAAATAAAATAATTTTTTACTTAAAAATGAAATGAGAATATTTTTCGATGATAACCCAAAAAAAAAAGTAAACATAAATTTAAATGACGATTGAATATATTTTATATAAAATATAAAAAATTATTTTAGGGCTAACTGTCTTACGGAGAGAAGTGGCCGTGGATTTTTTTTATATAAAATATAAAATATTATGTAAATAATATAAAAATAATTAAAAAGTAAAATATAGTGACGATAAAATGAGAGAAAATCTAAAAAAAATACGCCCTTGGTATTTTTTTTTTTTTCAACATTTCAGAATTTCTAAAAATCTCTAATCTAACCCAAACCAAAAGCTTTTATAAGAGCTTATGCAGCATCATAAACCAAAAAACAAAAAGTTTAAAAAAGAATATTTTACTAGTAGAGCTAAACTAAAGATCAAACATGTGTTTATACGGATACTTCTCAAACCTTGGGCACTATTCTTCTATGACATTCCAAGGGAAGGTTACACTGCTAGTGCTGATTTGAAAAAATTAGTATCTTGCATATTGGCACCTATAAAATATCAAAACAGCACAAGTTTTTGTTAAAAATAACATGTACTATTTTTTATAATGACATATGTTGTTTGTTTATATTTAGATGTGTGCTATGCAAGTGTATGTCATGTGCTGAAATGAATTGTTGCATATGTTGTATGAAACTATATCATGTTTCATTTAAATTATGCGTTGTCACTAACATTACCGTATGTTGTAACTAACATTACCATGTGTTGTTTGCTAGATCTTTGATTGTTGTTAATTCATATGTTGTGTTTGTATTATATTAATAAATAATGTGTCACCAACGTTACCGTATATGCTATTTGTTAGGTATTGTTCAGCACAATGCTGAATCCAACCGCAACCCAATGTTATCAAATCATTTTTCTCTAAATATTATGTTACATATTAAGTACTGGATATAATATTTTAAATATAAATATAAAAATAAAAATAACCAAAAAAACACACCTAAAGCAGAGCAGCTATGCTTTCTTAACCTATATTTAGAAACAGCCAAAACGAAAAAAATCCAGTAGTGTTTTTATGCCTTAATAGTTCGTCGAGCCGAGGAGGCGATAGGTTCATATACTACACGGTCATCTCGACTAAAACCGGCTCCCCATCTACGCCAAAAGGGCCGTAAAACTCCACATTGTTTCAGTATATTAAAGCGCAAAACAAATTAAAGACGAAGAAAGTGCATGAGTATGAACACAAGGCGTACCCGGCGATCCAGAATCAGAATTCCCCGCTGGCTTTCGCAGTTAATTTCCCGACATCTCCCTGTTATAAATATTGAGAACGTTCTTTTGAGCCTCCGGCGAAAGTTCCATCAAAAGATCGCGAATCTGGTCTTTATGCTTCTGCTTCAATTCATCGAGCTCCTTTCCCTGTGCATCCAGCATTTGCTCGAGCTTCTCAATAGTCGTGTTGATATTATTGCTCGATTCAGCCTCATTATAAGTTACGTCGCGCTTTCCAGAATCATTACAGCCCTGATCATGCTCGACCTGCCTCAGAGGAGAGGCGTCGCTGCCTTTAGGAGAATCACACCAGATTTTGCGACCAGATGGGAGTCTCTCCATAACAAGAGGAACAGGGGAGGTCGGGTTATTTGCTGCTGGTGGGGTGGGGGAGGGATTGTCGTTAGGTTCATGCGCATCGTCGGAAATGAAACTGTTGTTTTGAGAAAGTTGTCGGGGTCCCCAATCAGGAATGTGGGATTTGATTGCTCCATCGATCATTGATGACAGAGCTGATATGTCGAGATTTCCCACGTCCAGTTCCACGACCATTTCACTTGCAACAGCGACGGATGTATCCTCGTCGATATCGAACGGGAAAAGAATAGTCCGAAGCTCACCTAATATTGTAAAGATCGTAAATAATTAGTGTTCATGAGGATATCTTTCCTCTATAAATAACTAAATAAGATTACCTGTTGAAGTCGGTACTTTAAGTTTGAGGAATATTGTATTATGATCTTTTCGTTGACCTTCCACCGTAAAGTCTCTGCTTCCCTCTTCAGAATTTCACCAATCGCCAAAACAGTCGTTATAATCTACAAATGTAATGGCAGTGATGAATACGCTGTATAGAAATGAAACTTGCAAAGGGTACCTGCAACAGAGGGCTCCTGAGGTCGGCTGCTCCTGGAAACAACATCTTGGAGAAATGGATCCATCAGTAGTTCTCCAGCTGACAACCGATCAGATACTTTGGAAATGCATTTTTCTATGAATTGCCGGATGTCAGGATCCTTCACTTTTTCTAGCGAAGCGGGTTTGATACCCTTTTCCGAGAGTGAAAGAACTCAGATTACAGAATCGGAGATGAATAAGCTAACCCATCAGCAGCTAGAAATATCCAGATAAACACGGACTAGTTTTTGCTTTTAATAATTGAACTATCAAACTTAAAGGAAGAACAAGAATTTCAGAAAATTAATCCAACTTAAAAACAAGACAACCAAGTTGTAAACCTAGCAGATATTTATCGGTTTTAGTGTGATCAAATGATATTTCATGGTAACAAAGAGATCCAGACATCCTAATGAACATGGATCGTGTACATAAAAATCAGACTCCAAAATTCATAGTGAAACAATAGGTGACCAGCAATGATGAGAAACATGGTGCAAGACCGCGTAAATTTCAGAAGTTAAGCATGGCCTAAGATGAATATTTCCTAGAATAGTTTTAAAACCTGACTTCGGATGTACGACAGTAATGCTGAAGACAATCAAGAAAGCACTTTATAATGATATATAGCAGCCACAGATACAGGAAACATCGCCTTGAACAGGTGTCTAAACCAGATACCATCATAGCAATGTCATTTGCATTGTTAAAATTTAAGATGTAATCCACCTTGGAGCTTTTGAAAATGGTTTGGAAACGGCTAGGATTTGCACAGACAAGTTAATCTACGAGACGATCTCTGGATTTCTTTATAGATCATGGTTTCCACCTACTTTTATTAGGCTATTCTTCTGTTTCCGAATTCTAAAGTGACATTCCAATATATATGATATGATACATCTTAAAATAGAAAAGAATGGAAACAAAACTTAGACATCAAGACTAACTTACAGAAGTAACTTTTTTATATATCTGAGCTGCATTGGAGCATTCGGAATATGGATACTCGAGGGTCACAAGCTCCAGCAAGCACATACCAAAGGAATATATATCCACAAGTTCATTATATTCCTCTTCATAAAGCTCTGGCGCCATAAATTCCGGGGTGCCTATATCAAAATCACATATCTAATATACCACGACAACCTCAAAATATACCAAATTGAAAAAGAGAACAGCCACAAGTCACTAAAAACTTACCTATGACACTTTGAACCGCCCGAGTGTGCTGAAGGATAGCAGCAAGTCCAAGATCTCCAATTTTTACCTCCCCTTGATTCCCATTAACAAATATATTATCACATTTCAAGTCCCGGTGAATAATTGGGGGGTCATGACTATGAAGATACAAAACCCCCTCTAGAATTTGTCGAGACCACTTCTTAAGTGCTCGAACATCAACGTGATTATGTTTCTTCCGGTACCTATGGATTCCCATTCACCAGTTTCAGTGAAATTCGACAAACCAGATATCTAGCTCCCACAAAACAATAACAAAAGTGGATCATTCCCAAGTTTAACATACTGTCGCAGAGTCCCGGATGTGAAAATTTCAGTGATGAAGTTGATCTGCCCGTGCCTTTCGTCCACCCATGAGTAGTGCAATTTGATTATATTTTTGTGCTTGAGAGTTTTAAGCAAGTTCACTTCAGAAAACAGCCGCTCCATGTCGAAGGAGCTTTTCATTACATCAGAAAGTTTAACCTGATTCCAGGCCACCTCCAGCCCTTCAAATTCATCAAATGCTCTGTAACTATATTGGAAATTTTAACATCAAGGATGCACAAAGAACTGCAGTTCAAATCATACATTATTTTTCAGAAACCTACAGCAATTTCTTCCAGATAACAACAATCAAAGCATATATATATATAAATATATAGATTAGGTTCCAGTAAGGATACACTTTTTTGAACGCTCCTTTCCCCAATACTTCTTTATACTGCCAAAAAACAATATTCGCAATAGAAACAGATTGAAATAGCACAACAAAAATTACGGTAAATTATCTCACAATTCCAAAATGTAAAACGAGCAGATAAACAACGTATTCCTAACGAGGAAAAAAATTTCCAGAAATCCTGGAAAGTTTAAACACGAACCCGACCGTATCGACCGGTTGGATCGACCTCCACAAATTCTGCCCCAGCATCGGCATCGTTGTGTTCCGACGCCGATTCCGGTCGCATTCTCCCACTTTAGCCTACAACAGAACAACAAACAAACGAAAATCGACCTAGAACAGATCTACAGCTGACAAAATCCCTGTATATGTTCCAGAAATCGTCCGGTTTTCCCGCAATCCGATTCAAAACAAACTCAACTGTGCATCAAAACGATATGGTCCATACGATTCGATTGTTTCGAATATCAACGGTGAAGGAATTTCAACCGGCGCCGCAATCTGAGTTCCGTATGGAGAAAATTGGACGTCTATTACGCGAGCATCATCATTATTGCGTCCATTGAAATCGCCATGTGAGTTATGCATTGAGGCATGAATGAAGGAAGAAACATTTTCGAAGACTGTTTGCGTTTCTTATACAAAACAATTCCTTCTCTCTTCAAGTACCCCCCTTTTCTTTTCTTTTTTTCTTTTTTTTATAGGTTACGGGAAAAAATGGAGGGTTTCTTTGGGTTGAATTCGAGTTTTATTTTATTTATTTTTAATATAATTTTTAATTTAAATAATATTTTAATATAAATATATATATATATTTATTTAGTATAATTATTAATTTTGATTTAAAGAAGAAATCAAACTCATACTACTCCTACATATTTATATTTTAAAATTACAGTTAGATTCAAATACATTTTAAAATAGTTTTTTAGTTGGTAAGAAATTTAAAATTGCATACTCCCTCTGTCCATAAACATACCATTTTTCATTTTTGTGGCGTATAAAAAAAATATATAATTTTTTAATTTAAGTAATTACATAGTATGTCCAACATAATTAATACTTTTACAATTTTAAATATATTATATAAATATTATTATTTTTTTATGACATGATTTAATATGAACAATTTTGTTTTTTTCACCATAAACCAATATAATACTAATATTTAAAAATTTACGTGCAAAAAGTAAATACTATTCATTTTGGGATGGAAGTAGTATCTTTTTTTATGTTAAGTAAATAAATATTGAATATGAGATCATATATATGTGATATGCTTTTACTATAATATTTTAAAAAATAAAATACTTTGTTTGAAAAATAATACTTCCTTTTTTTTTCGGTTATGATGTACCTTTTACTATAGATACGAAAGTGTAAGATATAAAATTAGTAAATAATTAAGAATTTTTAGTAAAAATAATTATCGTATAATAACAATAATTTTAAATTAAAATTAAACAAATTAATTAATTTAATTAAAATGTAAAAAGTTATAAATTTAAAAAAAAAATTAAAATATATAATTTTTTTCAAAAAATTAAAAGTAACAAAACAAAACAAGTGGAGAAAGAGAAAATGATAAATGAGAGGAAGGAGTAGTAATATAATAAAAAGTAATTTTAAAATATACACATATATCATAATGTTCTTTTTGGTATAAATATTTTTGTTCTTTTAATTTTCAAAAACCTTTTTAATTTTTTATTATTAAATACTGAAAATATGAAAGTATTATTAATGTTATATATATATATATAATTTAATATAAAAAATTAATATTTTATAAAAATTTATTGATTTTTGTGAGTTGATACTATTATATTATAGATTTATTTGTCTAATTTTTTTAAGAATTTTCGATATATATAATATTTTATTTTATTTTTATAAAAGTCGACATTCAACATAAAATATAATTATATTTTTTTTATATTGACACACTATTTTTTATATCTCATATAAAAAAATTTTTTAAATCAAGACACTTATCAAACAAACCATCTATTAATGTATGTATATATTTAAGTTTTTTTAATAATATTCATCGAAATACATAGTCACAAAAAATTGTTATACGAACCCCTTGACGAGATTACAAACAATGCACAAACCAAATGTAAATAGATCGGATAAGAGTTTGTATGAAAAAATATAATAAAACCATCATAAGAATCAAATGTGATCGAACAAAAATATAGAAAACAACAACAGGAGGTTATCAAGTCGATATTGACTTGAACATCTGAAATTGGAGAATGGTAAACTGGAATAAAAAAATAATGAGAGGTTCAAAAAAAGAAAAGGCAAACTTGAAGTATTGTCGATTGAAAAGCCATTCGGAAACCATAGAAAAATTGGTTATCAAGAATCAGTGATGCCTAAACCAACTACTTTTGTGAAAGGAGGTCTGCTTACCGATGTGAAAATTTCAAAGAAACTCCCAAAGAAAAAGGTGACTAAAGTTTCAAAGTAAAATATAAATAAAAGGCATAATAGAAATCTCATTAAGAACAGACGTGTCAATTCGATGTCACAACAATAGAATAACTGCAGGTACTAATATCGATTTGGTAATATTGGTCACGTTGTTTCAAGCTGACAAGGAATTTGATGACTGGAAAGAGAGTTCATTGACACTCAGAGGAACTGAGATAAAGAATTATGTTCAAAAAAAAATGAAGACAAAAAGATAATCAACCTCAGGTGATATACAATGTCATTCTATCAAGTCAATAAATCACTAGTTCATCCCGATGGTATTTCGATAGTGGTTGCTCACGTTATATAACAAATCATAAGCGTCTCTTGAAAGATTATGTAGCTGAAAAATATGGAGAAGTGATATTTAGAGACGACACCACTTGCAGGCTATGGTTCTCTTGAAATCAAATGAATATTGAAGCTCTCGAAGGTATATTTTGTTGAAGGCTTAAACACTAATCTCGTTAGTATCATTCAATAATGTAATGATGAATTGTAAGTGAATTTTATCAAAGATACTTGTAAGGTGTACAATAATAAGAAGGAATGTGTAATGACAAAAAAAAAATGTCAAGAAATAATTGTTTTCTCCTTGACAAACAAATGAACGTGCATTGATATCTAAGGATGATGAAGCTTTATTGTGGCGCACAATTCTTAGCCATGTTAACCAGCATAACTTGATAAAATATATCGATAATCAGTGTTTCAAGATCACAAGCAGCAGCGCACAAATCAGAAGTAAATCAGATCAGATAAGATTAAATATGATCAAACAAAAGGTAGAGAACAAGCATAGGATGTTACAACTTAAATATGACAAATTTCGGCATTAGCAGTGTGTCTCACAAGAAGATCAAACTTTCTAACGTCGTGAGACAAATCGGAAGTGTGTCATATACACGCGCCGCTAATCATAATTATACTTTAAACGTGTGGTCACCGGAATACAAGGAAGACGACAAAAGGGGTGGTGACATACAACGGTTCTTGAAATACTTATTGCTATGATATCATATAAATTTTGAGAGAGAATAATAAAATTGTATTAATTTAAAATTAAATGTGTGCATAACTATATATATACACGGTAAACTAATAAAAACACAAAATAAAATAATACTAACAATAAAAATAATAATAGGGTAACAATTATGGCTAACATCAAATAATTGTAGCATGTTTAGTGCTTCGACACTAATTTCACTTTTTATTAAATTAATAGAAGTGCTAAAAATTAATATGTTGTTTAATAAGAGTGATTACCTATTTCATTGTGTTTGATTTTTTATAGTATTATTTTCATTGTGCTTATTTACTATTTATAATTTTTAGATATATTTTTTAACCATTTTGGTTATTGTGTTAATTCGGTAAATATTTATAAAAAAATTAGCATATAATAAATTATATAATTATATGTAGAAATATATAATTTTGAATAATATATTCTAATTCGGTCGGTAAATATTTATAAAAAAATAGTATATACTCCTTCCGTCCCGTAGAAATATTACCGTTTACTTTTTGTACATAAATTTTTTAATATTAGTATTATATTGAGTTATAGTAAAAAAGACAAAAATATCCCTAATATATTAATATAAAAGTAATGACATTTCTATAGTGTAAGTTGGAATGTTATTTATTATTTTAGGTAGCTAGTACAATTACTAAATTAGAAAACTGACGGAAATGAAAAATGACAACATTTCAATTGAACAGATGGAGTATTAATATAATATATAACAAATTATATTATAACATGTAGCAAAATATAATTTTGAATAATATATTCGGATTCAATTAGTAAATATTTATAAAAAAAATAGCATATATTACATTATTAATATAATATATAACAATATTTTAATAGAAAATTTATATAATTATAGGTAGCAAAATATAATTTAATTTTAAAACAATAATATATTAAGCAAATTATACGGCACAACACGACACAATATATAATCCAACACAATAAATCTTAATAGCATAACACATTATAAAATTGTATGTAACAAAATATATGTTGATTTTAATATGAAATATAACTCATACAACATATGTTTTTATATAACATAACATATATTATCTGCCTTGTCATCACCATCCTAAGGTCATCTCCAAAGCAACCTAAAAAATGAGGTTGCAGCTCCAAATATGGAGATTTATCTCTCCAACCCAACTCCATATCTAACACCATTTTTTGTGTTGCGCTGCAGCAACGTCAAATTTAGAGTTTTTTACTTTTTTTTTAAAAAAAAAATTAACAAATTGTAAATTGGTCTCTATAAGAATTAATCTGTAATTTTTTATATTTTAATTGTATATATTTATATTTTTTAATATAAAAAATTGTTTAAAATAATATATAAAATAGAATATTTAGAGAATATTCTTTTTGGAGTTGAAAATAAAGTTGTGGGTTAGAGTTAAATTACCGTAGTTAAAACTGGATAAATGGAGTTGATGAGTTGGAAACGGCCTAATAGTCATTTTTTTTAAGGTATGAAAAATAATGAGTATATTATAAAGAAGGGTAAACTGTTTTTTTTAAGTCCCGTAACTGGACCCCTTATCATTTTAGTCTCGTAAATGGAGCCTGTCGCAAACTAGTCCCATAAGTGAAAAATTTTCGCTGTTTTAGTCCTCCGGCGCCGGAGACGCCCGCGTGGCTCGCCGGAGGTGACGTGTCCACCAGGTGTGACCTGTCGAACACGTGGATTTTTTATTTTATTTTTCATTTTTTAAATTTTTTTAATTTTAATTTTATTTTTTTATTTGGTCCAACTAAAAATAAAAAATTTAAGAAAAATGAAAAAAAAAAAAAAAAAAAAAACGTGTCCGCCAGGTGTCGCTGACCTGGCGGGACACCTGGCGGACACGTCACCTCTGACGAGCCACGCGGGCGCTCCGGCGCCAGAGGACTAAAACAACGAAAATTTTTCACTTATGGGACTAGTTTGCGACAGGCTTCACTTACGGGACTAAAATGATAAGGGGTCCAGTTACGGGACAAAAAAACAGTTTACCCTATCAAGAATAATATTTTACGTTTTTTTGTTGAATTTTGTGTATTTTTATTAAATATTATTATTATATTTTTTGGATAATAATTTTAGAGAATTTTATAAATAAAAATAATAATAATTGCTTTATTTTACTAAAATAACATTAATTTAATTAAAAA